TACTTTCTTTCTTTTTATTCCTCACTTAAGGTGTTAGTGTGAGAACAGAAGTCAGGGACAGAGCCTAATTCCAGAAACTGGATATGAAATGTACAATGTGTATGCAGACTAAGAATGTCTCTTGAACTTTCTCTGGACCTTGGCATTATACTAAATATCCCTATGCAAAATGTTTGCAAAAAAGTACTTCCTGAATTTGAAGTTTGTCTGTGCAAAGGCCAAAATTATCATATACAATGTGAAAGACTTATCCACACAGGGGTCAAATTCTGTTCTTATGAACAACTAGAGAATTTTGCTTTGGAGAATCATTCAGCATCCTTTTAGTTGTCACAATAAGAATTTAGTAAAATTCAAAGAGGGATCAGTTGTTAACCTAAATAACAAGACTATCCAAAGTTATAGCAGTTAATAGCAACAAGGAGCTTCTGAAAGGATAAAAATACCCAGCATTTAAAGTAATCTCCAACTTTTTGGGATGAGATTGAGACTTTCATGGGGGGGCAGATTATATCACATCTGTCTACTGCGGGATTCTTCCACCTTCCTCTGAGGAATCTGGTTTTGGCCACTGCTGGAGACAGTATATTGGATGAGATGGACCTTGGGTCCACTCCAATATGGACCATGTAACAGGAACATAGGAACTCCAAAGATTTTAATTTTCTTTAAAAAATTGTATCGAAACCACTCTTTCTCAAGTGTGTATTTAGTTCAAGTACATCAGGAGAAAATAAAAAATATTTCTTTGAAACAGTCTGTACTAAAGAAATCAAGATGTTATCATAACAACCCACATTCTTCTAATCTACCTGCCACAAAGAAGAATGGTTTGTCATACTAGCTACAAAATGCTGTAGATAGTAAACCCCTGCCTGAAATGGCAACCATCATAATGAAGATTCGTAGTCCACTTGACAGCAGGTAGAACCTGGGATGACTTCGGCAAATGTAATAAGCATCTCAGTCATGAAAAATAAAGATCATTCCAACTGAATAGCAACCACAACTAGTATAGACTCTGGCTTTAAAATCCTTACATCACCATCCATACTGGTTCTCAAAAGCCTCATTCAGACTTAATATGCTTGAGATATGGAAGGTTTTAATTATCTAGCATAAATGGTTAAGCATGGGCATCAATTTGTTGAAAGATTTGTCTGAAGGCCCGCCACTTAAGATCATCTAGAACAGAGGTTCTCAACATTTTTCTTTCTGAGCCCGCCCGCCCCCCCCAACATGCTATAAAAACTCCATAGCCCAGCTGTGCCACAACAGCTGCTTTTCTGCCTATAAAAGCATAGGTGCCGGAACTAGGGGTGCAGCCACATCCCCTGTCTTGAAGTGGTTTCCATCATATACAGGGCTTACAAATTGGTTCAATGGCCCTCAGCACCTCCACTAAACACAATTTTCCAGTGCCCCTGTATAAAAGCCAGGGCTGGCATTAGGGGGTAGCAAGCAGGGCAATTGCCTGGGACCCCACACCACAGGGGGCCCTGCAAAGCTAAGTTACCCAGGTTTCAGCTTCAGCCCCGGGTGGTAGGGCTTGGGGCAGCAGGACTTCGGCTTTCTGCTCTGGGATCCAATGAGTCTAATGCCGGCCCTGCTTGGCTGACCCCCTGAAACCTGCTCACAGACCCCCAGGGGGCCTCGGACCCCTGTTTTTTGAGAACTGCTGATCTAGAAAACACGAGTTTCTGCTTGCCAATCAAATTTGGAAGTACAGTAAAACCTATGCCTTAAACTGAGTTACACACAAAAGTGTTTTGCCTCTTCAAAATATCAGCCCAACTGCCGGTTCTTGTCATGTTGCAGCTGATATCAATACATTCAGGAATGAGCAAAGTAACCCTAACAATGGCCTAGAGCAGTGATACTCAGACTGAGACTCATGAGCCTCAAGTGGTTCTTTAATGTATCTCCTGAAGCTCTTTGCAGCATATGATAGTAGAACAGTGTTATTTAGTTATTAACCAATCAGGATGTTTTACTATGTTATTAACCAATTAAATTATCAACTTGCACTAAGTTATTAATTTATTTGCTGCGAGAATCAGATAGATAGATAGATAGATAGATAGATAGATAGATAGAAAATGAAACAATGAATTCACACTATTGTGGCTCTTTTGGATAATGTTGATCTCTAATTTGGCTCCTGAACCACTGCAGTCTGAGTATCCCTGGCCTGGAGAGTCTTCAAAACTAGAATTGGTCCAGAGCTATAAAATGTGGATCTTAATGTGAATTTTTCCAAAGATCAAGAAGCAGAAGGAATGAACAAATGCTGGGTTTTGGTTTGGCCCACTATGGAGGCAGGCCCTCAGCCACAAAATTTGTATCCGTATCCAAACTTCCCCAGGCCCACTAGCCAGAACATGATAGGAGAAATACATGTAACACTGGAAGTGGAACAGCTTCTTAGAGAATGCTTAGAAAGCAAGTGTTCCCTGAAACTAGACATACCTTAATGAAAATCCTACTTAAAACATACTGTGCAATAATAGACTGTCACTAAATTAAACTGTTTTAACTGTCTCCATATAGACAGCTTCAGAGGTTTCCCTACATTTCTCTGTCATTGCAAAACACTCAAGCAATATGTTTTCTGGAAACAGTTTTCTGGAAACCGAAATACAACTAAATATTGAGAGCTTTTGACTGGAAAATGTATTAGCATTGAATGATCTTGGCTCATATGACCCATTCTGATTCCTAAAAGCTATGGTGACAGCCAAAAAATCATAATGAAGCCATGAAAAAACAGAATAATACCAAATATTAATCAATGGAATAACAGATTCGGACAAAAGCTGGACAGATTATTACAATGACAATGGCAATTTCCACATATACAACCAGATATGTTAACTTTTCACTGAGCTCTGTAACCAAAACCAGCTATTCATTCAGTGAAACCCTGTGAATTTCCTCTGACTACCAATAAACGTTTCATTGTTGATGCTCAATCTTGATCTGTCCCCATAAATAAAATATGCTCCTGGGTACTCCTTTTAGTTAATTTTATCAAGAGCATTGTGATATTTGGATGTCTTCATATTTTATGAAGCAGATTTTTGAGTCATAAGTTCTAAACTGATTTAATGGCCATCGTTTCTTAGCTAGCTGAACTTACTGCATTTTCTCTAATAGAATGAGAGGCAGCTAAGAACAATGCAATAAATCTGAGAAGCTGAAAATAGCAATCCTTTGTTGGAAATGTTTTAATTAGCATTTACCAGCATATGTACTTTAAAATCATTTTCTTACAGTGCAATGTATGAATGCAATATGTATGTTTTCTTACAGTGCAGTGTATGAATGCAATATTAAAAAATTGTAAAAACTTAACAACAAAGGAAGGCTGCAGGTTCAGGGGAATGGTAATGGGATATGAAACTTTTTACCTCTAGATCACTGGTTTGAATCCAGCCAGGTCCACAGAGACAGAGCTGTTAATGTTTGATGGCTATTTTGTGCCCTGTATGAAATGAAATAGTAGTCTTATTCCAGTTTCAAGTGAACGCGTTTGATGCCTTCACTTACATCTTCAGGGTCTGAAATAATCTTGCTTAAGGTGGCACTGGCAAGTCAGAGTTAAGACACATTGGTTGACCAGTATATGGCCAGTAACAACGTAGGTCACCATGTTATTATACCTCTCCTGTGGATAAATGAAGGACTTCATTTCCTAAAGTTGTCAGTCTGATACTTTTACATCAGCACTACATTTACTGTTGAATGTCCAGTCCTGCAAATGCTCCACTTGTGGAGCTCTCATTGAAATCAATCCGGCTTCATCATCCTTTCTTGATAAAGAAGGTTTTATGATAAACGGTAAGAAGAAAGGGTTACTAACCTGTTCTTTAACTGTTGGTCTGACATGTGTTGCACATGTTTATTCCACTTCAGGTGTGTGCACCCCAGTGTGCAACTGTGAAAGATTTTTCCTTCAACAGTACCTGTCAGGGTGGCACATGCACCCTCTGATGCTTTGAGCTACTGCAGATGGTGTAAAGGGCGGAGCCACCCAGACCTCTCTCCCTCAGTTCCTTCTTACCAGATAGACTCCAACAGACAGGGGGAAAGAGGGTGGGTGTGGAATGGACATGTGTAACACATCTTGAAGAGCAACAGTTACTGAACAGGTTAATAACCATTCTTCTTCTTTGACTGATTGCATATGTCCATTCCACTAATGGTGACTCACAAGCAGTTCAGTTTGGAGGTGGGATCGCAGTCTACCTAAATAGATACTGAAGGACCACATGTCCAAACCTGGCACCATGTCTAGATTGTTGAGAAATGGCACAATGCGAGGCAAAATTATGCACTGATGACCAACTTGCCACTTTGCAAATGTCCAGAATGTGCAATTGGGCCCGAGAGGCTGCCAATGCTGCATATGATCTAGTTGAATGCACCAACACTTTTCTTGGGGTTGTCACATTAGCCGGCTTGTAGCATAAATGAATATGAAAGGAGATCTAAAAGGAAATCCTTTGAGAGGAGACTGGAAGGCCCTTCAGTCTGTTTGCAATTGCCACAAATAGCTGTGACAATGCCTAAACCACTTAGTGTGGTCCAGGTAAAATGCTGAAGCTCTTCTAATGTCCAAGGTGTGACCTTTTTCTTCATCTTTATGATTATGAAGCTTTGGGTAGAAAATTGGTAAACAAATTGCCCAATTAAAGTGGAAGTTGGACAACACTTTAGTGAGGAACTTTGGATGAGGGCAGAGGTAAATCTTGGTGTTATAAAAGATAACATAAGGAGTTTCTGAAATCAGAGCTCATAACTCACCCACTCTCCTGGATGAGGTGATTGCAATCAAAAAGGCTACCTTCTTGGACAGATGAAGGAAGGAACAGGTAGCCATTGGTTCAAAGCTGGAACCTATTAACTTTGCTAACACTAGGATTAAGTCCCAGGGGGGAATAGGATCTCTACTTGGGGAAATAACCTGTCCAAACTCTTTTGAAATCTGATTGCCATAGGCTTGGAAAAAAGGGAGCAGTTATCAAGTGGTGAGTGGAAAGCCCAGATAGCTGCCAGATGGATTTTGACGGAACTAATAGCAAGACCTGTTGTTTCAGGTATACAAGCTAGTCCAATACCTGATGGATGGAAGCTGGGAGTGGGGAAACACCTTTCTGCTGGGACCAGATGGAGAATTTCTTCCATTTTGCCAGGTAAGTATACCTAATAGAAGGCTTTCTACCATTTAAAAGCACATCTTGAACCTCCTTTGAGCAAATTTCCTCCAGATGAGCCAGCCACGGAGCATCCAGGGTGTCATGTGTAGGGTCTGTATGGGGGGGTGAAGGAGAGGCCCATTGTCCAGAGAGATCAGGTCTGAATCCGCTGGAAGTATCAGAGGATCTTTGTCCAAAAGGATCAGCAAAGTCAAAAACTAATGTTGTCAAGGTCACACGGTGGAGCTACAAGTATAACTTGAGCCTGGTGCTGTTTGATTTTGAACAACATTCGGGTAGAAGTGGAACTGGAGGAAATGTGTACAGGAGTTTGTCTGTCCAGGGCAATAGGAAATTGTCCATGAAAAACTTTGAGCTGTGACCTGCTCAAGAACAAAACCAAAGACATTTCCTGTTTACTTCTGTTGAAAACATATCTATGTGGGGTTGCCATGGCAGTGGTGATGGTCTTCATGAGAAAGACAGGAGTTCATATAAAGAAAAGGAGTTCTTGTGGCACCTTAGAGACTAACACAAGTTTTGTTTTGTTTTTTGTGAATACAGACTAACACGGCTGCTACTCTCAAAGGAGTTCATATGTTTCCTTACCTGATGACTCGTTGATAAGGTGCCAGTTCAAGGCTCGGTACTGTCCAGTGTGATGGTCATCCAATCCACCTTAGATGCACTAGGGTTGCTCATCAATGGAGAGAAGTCAATCCTGTCACCTGTACAAAGGATAAAGTTTAGGTGGTCTTGGACTCTGTGGACGCTATGTCTCTGCTTCTACAGCTAAGATTCCAGACAATGCTAACACTGCTTTGGACCTGAAGACCCATCCTACCATGACTGTTCAAAATTGACACTGCTTTTTGGACATATAGCCTCATGCACTTACATAGTTCAGCATTCCAGGCTCCATCTCAGGAAACTACAATGGTGGTTAGCATTGGGGTACTCACTGATCCATAATCCCCTAAACATGTTAGTTTGGATGTACCCACAAGTCTTGACCTCTCTAGACTGGTAGAAAGACTCTTCAAATATTTGTGTGGGAGTTCCGTTTACTCCTCCTCAACCAGCTTTCCCCTTAGTTACAGATGTGTCTACCCTCATTGTGGGGCTTACCTTGGGTCCCTGCAGACTCAATTTTTGTGGTCTGCCCATGATTTGAATGCCAGAAAAGTGAGGGACATCCTTCTAGCTTGTCTGGCCTTCCTTCCCCTTATCAAGGGGTAAGATCTGCTAGTACTAACATACAATACAACAGCCATGTCCTATGTGAACAGGCAAGGAGGGGCCTGGTTGAGTCTGCTATGCCAGGAGGTGATGTGGCTGTAGGATTTCTGCATCGCTATTTCTATCCACCTCAAAGCCTCTCATCTTTCTGGAGTTCGAAGTACTCTGGCAGACTGGTGATGCAAATCATTCATGAGACGCTATGAGTGCTCTCTTTGCCCAGACATAGCCAGATCTGTAATATACAAGGGGCTGCAGACAGTCCAAATGGTAATAATATAAACAGTAGTGGGATTTGTCAAGCACAAACCTGAAGAATTTCCTGTGGCTCTGATGTATTGCCACATGGAAATGCACATCTTCTAAGTTGAGGGGAACATGCCAATCTCCAAGTCCGTGGAGGGGATAATAGAAGCCAGAGTGACCACCTGGAAGTTTATTTCCTTCAGGAATTTGTTGACCTTTCTTAGGTCTCAAATAGGCCTGAGACCCCCTGTTGCTTTCAAGAGCAGGAAATAGTGAGAGTAAAATCCCTTTCCTCTGAGAAACAGGAACTTCCTCTATGGCTCCCACTTGGAGGACAGATTTACCTCCTCCAGGAGAACGTTCCTGGGTAGTGATGTACAACCAAGCACTCGGATAAAGAGACAGTCAGTTGGTAACAAGAGGGTAGGAGTGGCTGCTACTCTGGAAACTGGATAAACTGGTATCTGCAGCAGAAGGAAGGAAGGGGTGGTCTTCTCCTATAACTTCTGCCTTTTTTCTGTTTAGATCCTGGATGCAAGGCATGAAAGTAGGATACTGGTGAGGCTGCTGAGGACAAAACAGCTTCCTCTTCAGAAAAAGATGCCCCAAATTTGAGCATCACCCTCAAGTGCTTAAGATTATGCTATTTCTCATCGGTGTGCACAGAAAAAAGCGATGGACCCTCAAAGTGCAGGTCCTGTATGGTCTGTTGGACTTCTTGAGGGAGACTGGATGACTGAAGCCAGGAACATCTACATATCGTAATGACCGATGCCTTGGCCCAAGCTGCCAAGCCTGCAGTGTCCAAACTGGCCACATGACTGGGTCGATAGGTGCCAAGCAAGGGCTATTGCTGTAAGTGATGTGGCCATGAGATGTAAGAGCAAATCTCTGAGTCCAACAAGGAATCCACTTCATCTCACTGGGGTGGGAGGTGGGGGACTATTCCCATCATTGCTGGGGATAGATGCTGGTGCCTGGAGAGAGTGGTACCAGCGAGATCACGGCCTACTTTCCTCTAGATGGCACCACTTGGAGAGGCACTTGAGAGGCTGGAAGTGCCCCAAGAACCAGTTGATGGGTTGGCACAAGCAAAATAGGTGCTGGTACAGAGTGTGAAGACTCCTGGACCACCAAGGAAACTGGCACCAAGAGATTTAGCAGTTTCCATGCCACTGTGTAAGCCTTTGTAGACAGTACCAGAAAAATCCTTGCTGTTGAGACATCAAGGGCTGTACTGTTGAAGTAGATGCCACTTCAGGGGCCAGTCTCAATGGGACCGTGGCTGGTGCTGGAGTCAATGGACCCCCTTGAACTGATGACTGTCTCAAAGAGGTCGTCTGCTTCAAGTGCATTCCACTACCCTTGTCCTTACTGGGCTTCAGTGCTGAGGATCTCAATCTCTCGGATGCTGAGCCCTTAGATACTTTCTGGTGCCTCTTCCTCAGTACCAGCAAGGTTGATTGGCCTGAAGGCTCAGTCAAAGCAGGAGGAGCACTTGTAATGGACACAGATTCACTCAGTGCCCACTCCAAGCAGAAAGGCTCCAAAGTTGGGTGCAGTGCTGCCACCATCTGCAGAAACTTAAGCCTCACTCATAGTGACTCATGAATGATCTGCTTCACCAGTCTGCCAGAGTATTGTAAACTCCAGGAAGGTGAGAGACTTGGAGGTGGATAGAAATAACAATGCAGAAATTCCACAGCCTTATCACCTCCTAGCATAGCAGAGTCAACCAGACCCCTCCTTGCCTGTCTTTCTTGGTTCTAGACTTAAAGTTTCTGCAAATTTGACACTGATCCCTGACATGAGTCTCCGCAAGACACTTCAGGCAGTGTGGGTCACTCACTGGCATTGGCTTCTTGCACGAGAGGTACGGTTTCAGCTCTGGTGACTGAGGCATTCCCCAACACCACTGTCAGTACCCAAGAATGGGTTCTAAAATGTCTGAAAACTCTTAAAAAGAAAATGTATAATTAACCAACACTAAAAACTACTAAAATGGGTGCAAACTATATACAAATAGAAGGCAAATCTTGCACTAGCAAGAACACATGCTCCAACAACAGTCATGGGTGGTAAGAAGGAACTTACCATCCTGGGCGACTCCATCCTTCATACCATGGTGCAGCAGCGGGCGCATGCACTGTCCCAATAAGTAACGCTGAGGGAAAAGTCTCTGACAATTATGCACTGGGTGCAAACACACCTGAAGTGGAATGGACATGTACAATCACTCAAAGAAGAAATACCTATTTGACAACAATGATGCTAGGTTGTTGTCATTAACTCAGTCAAGGAGAAGGAAGACTCATATTTGGAAAATATCAATGATTCAGTAGATAAGTTAATAGAGAATGCTATAATTCCTGATTACGATTGAGTGATTAAGTTCTAAAAGAAGAAAAAATGAAGTTTCTTGATTTTGTTGCATTAATAAGAACTTAGGAGCTAATTCTTTATAAAATGTAGTATATTATATGCTAGCATGAAGCATTGTGATAGATATGATAATTGATTTAATGTAGCATTGGCCTAATTAACCTTTTTTTTTTTTGTGGTTCAAGTTGTTCTGATGACTTAATATTTTACCATTATGGTCAATATTTTCAAGAGTGACTTGTGATTCTGGGTGTTCAACTTGACACCCCTTAAAAAGACCCAACTTTTTCAGAAAGTACTGAGCACTCACTTTTTAAAATCAGGTCCCTTTAATGTATCTCAAGTCTAGGACCCAAAAATAGAAACACTCAACATTATGAATCACTTTTTGAAAATCATGGCCTAAATTTATATTCTCTCACTTATATCTTCAAAAAAAAAGTGGGGTGGGGGGGCGCTGATTAAATTACAAGCTTTTAGGACTACAGGAAGGATTAAAAGATAAACATATTCGGATAAAAGTCAAAAAAATCTGGAATATTTAAAGGAAGATTTATGAAACAGCTAAATAGCTCAGAAAAGAGAGCTCTTATATGCAGTTTAATATTTATTATGTTGGCATACAATGTCCAACATTAAGAACAGTCAATGGTAGCCAGAATTTAAAGACACATACAAAGGAAAAATATCATTCAAAACTTGTCACTAAAGAATCATGGGTCAGATTTTTAAATGTGCTGAGTACTCACAACTCTAACTGAAGCCATGTGAGTTGCTAGTCATCAGTATTAGCAGCTGATCAACAATTTTATATCAAAAAATTTTTCTATGGAAAATTAGATTTTTGACTTAAAGAAAATTTCCGCAGAAAGTTTTTGATTGTTTTTTTGTTGGAAACCCACCCCCAAAAATTTTCAGCTGAAGATTTTAGATTTTTGGCCAGAAATGTTTTGGTTTTCAGTTGCTGAAAATACAAGTCAGTTTTTCAATGAAAAGGTAAAATGTTTTGCTAAAACAATTTCCAACCAGTTCTAGTCAGTATCTCTGAAAGATCAAGCTTCAGGACTTTCACTTCCTCACTTAAGTATTTATTTTCTTACTGAGAAAATAAATACTTTCTTACCTTTTCTTCTTTCTTAAATTTGTCTTCCTATTGACTTTTATTTTAGTTTATATCTTTCTTATTTATGAAAAAATAAACATAAAAAAACAAATCACCAGAAAACACTTGGTTTTGCATCCATACTATAAATATGCTCAGATTTGCTTGGGCATACACTGAAAATGAATAACCATAGGTACCTTCTAGTGAAGCCTAGGGAACAGTGTCTCCAACGTTTAGGAGTTCATGACTTTGTCACAGAGTTTAAGGCCAGAAGGTCCTATCAGATCAGCTAGTCTGACCTCCTGTATATCCAGCCACCTCAACACCAAGCCCAAGAACCAGAATTAGATCAAGGTATTATGACCCTCAGGAGACTAAACTATTGTATGCCGCAGGCAGAGAACAGGAGGGACTGAGGTGCACCAATACCCAAGGACTCTGTAATGGCAGATCCTTAATTTAGAGAGATATACCCTAATTATCCTGGCACCTATGTCCCATGCTTCAGAGGAAAACAAAAGAGAACTTCTGAAATTATCCTTAAAGCACAAAATGCAGGTTATCTGTGCTTCTAAACTACCCATAGTAAGCATGTCAGTGTGGATGCACCTCAAGTGGACCTACACATACTCCACACTTTATCAGGGAGTCTAATCCTGTGCTTAGCCAAAAGACAAGAGCCTTCATTGAAGATGCCAGCAGGTGTGTGCATTTGTGAATGAACAGCAACATGAAAGACAGCTTAAACAGATTTCAAGGCCAGGGTACCTACTCTCTCTTTTTTAAATGTTGACAAAATATCACTGAACGTGAGTGGTGCACAAATGTAAGGAATGGAGGGGAGATGTGGAGACAATTTGAGCAACAATATTCCACTAAAAATAATGCCTGCCCTGCTTGTGCCCACCAGTCAGCTTGGCAACAGAGATGGGGTTAGGAACAATATGAGGAGCCACTGAAGGTGTACTCATTTAGCTAGGAGGAAAAACTAGGAAGGGCAGAGTGACAGAAACCCAGGCATGTGATGGGCTGTACAAAGATGCAAAGAGGGTGGTCCATATGTAAAAAATAGAAGCCAAGGAGAATGTACATGGAGAAGTGACCCATAAACATGGTATTTTCACAGGGAAAGGCATCTTTTTTATATATCACATTGTTATAATAATGGAAGAACATCTGTAGCTTAATTCCACTCCTTTTTGTCTCAGATAAAGATGCCACATCAATCACCATGAGGAATGACGTCCTCTCTGCACAGAATTCGTACAAAGGTAGCAGCAATGCTACAAGCTACCACCTTGACCCACTTAACATGCCTCGACTCTGGCTGAAGGGCTCTCTTCTAGAGAGCTACTAAACAGTGTTATAATGGGATAGCCTAGTATGGAAACTAACATGTCAGCGCAAATGAAAGTAGGATATCTGGAGCCGAGATGAAATTTCCCCCATCCTTCGACAAGAGGAAACAAATACTATCACTTCTGTGGAAGAAAGGATTCTCGCCACTTTGCTTGAAAAGTCAATCAAGGAAAGGATGAATAAGACAGTTATGAGAGAAAAATAAGAGTTAATCAGAAGGTCTGAGATCTGTAATGTTCATTCATACTTAAGCATCTCTCTCCCTACACCCCCCTCCCCATTCCAGTTCACCCCACCTCTTCTTATTCCCACTTGGGATATTGGTCCCAAAGTTACTCTTCTCCTTATCAGATCCTATCACAATTTACGCATTACCGATCTGCATTTCTTTTGGACATGGTACCAAATTTGTACAGTCAATAGTGTTAAATGTGTTTGAACTGTTGCAACGCATCCATTAAACTGCCCTTGGAAAAATGATAATGAACTGGAGGAGTTTTGTGTTTTCCTTTTTTTTTTTTTTTTTCTTCTTTTATGAGTGGCATTTAGGTATGTTGAGCCTGATAAGGTGGAAGATCCTGTTTGGCGGTTACTCCACTTTGCCAGCTGTTGCAATTTCTGAAGTCCAGGGGAATGAGGGAGGGCTTTGCCATTCTATATATAAAGCATCCAAGCTTGAAAAGGCAAGCTTTGAAGGTGGCAGCAGCCGCACTGCCCCTTTTGAGCAGGTAGGGGCGGAGAGCCCTGAAAAAAGAAACTTCGCTCAAGGCTAACACCATGCTTTTGGCACTACTACTACTAATTTCCTGCAGTTTTCTACACTGCACAGGTAAGTCTAAGATCTCTAGCTAGAAATGAGATGTCTTTTGTTGGATGTTTGTGTTATTCAAAGGGAAATAGGTGGATAGTGAAACAAGAAGAGATTGCAGTGTGTGATGTTAGAAGATTCCATTATTATACCAACAGTACATGTGATGCAGACCTTTTCCCCCATCGTCAGTGGAATTACAATAATTTCCATTGATATTTTTTCCCATCAGAAGTTTAAAATATGCAACTGCATATTTCACAAACACATGACTGAAAATACAACCCAGTAGAACAATTTTAAATTATCCCCCCCCCCCCTCCTCCACTCTCTCTATTTGGAATTTCTGGTTACTGAAACTCTTGGTGGATCACTGACTGCATGGTACGTAGTAAGTGAATTATGTCACATCCCTCAAAAACATAGAACCTTCATGAGCCAATGGTAAATTGTATATTGTGTTTGCAAACACAAAGGGTCTCCACCCTGCAGTAGCTCCACATTGATGCTAGTGGGTGACCTGCATATGTACCCTCTGTAGAATAGTGCCTGTTAAGATCAGTGCACAAGGTCTTAAATATGTGTCAGAGAAAGGGCATAATTTTTCTTTATTAAACCCATTCTTTAAAAAAGGACTTCCATGCTTGAAATGTGGGAAATTGTTCAAATCTATAAAATGTTCAAATGAAATCTCTACTGGGTTTTTCTAGCGCTTTACACAAAATTAATCGATTTATGTTTCATTAAGGGATCTGCCCTCCCACCCCTCTCTGGCCCAATGTTTTTGGATGTCATAGATTATTTATTTATTTATTTTTAGGCTTGAAAAGCAAACATGTTGAATCTTTAACGTGCCTCTTTTTCCCGCAAGTGCTTGCGCTGGACTATTTGAGGGCCTTCTTTACTTTGAGATTAATCTGTGTGTTGTTTTAGACTGTGGTTTCCTTTTCTTCTATTTGTTCTATGTCTGCTCTGCAATTATCAGCTATTACAATTGCTCTGAAGGCTGCCAAAAATGCTTCAAGCACATAGTCTAAGCTGTTAAAACACATAATTTATTTAGCTTAGTTTGAACAAAGCTAAATTTATTTCTTCTGTATTGTGTTTACCACACTTAATGGCCCATATAATACTAATCCAGTAACAGTACATATTATTCTTGAATCAGAGATTTGTACTGTAACTGGAGAAAGAAAAATATGAACAATTAAAGCTTATGTAAACTCCACAGGCCAATTTTTGATCTCAGTTATATAGGTATAAATCCCACAATAGCTCTACTGACTTCATTAACAACACTGTAACCAAGATCAGAACATGGCCCCTGAATCCTAAATCTAATTCAGGTGCCATATTCCAAGTTACTTATCAATATGGTATCAAGTATCAGATTTGAGTTCTGTAATAAGTCATCATCAAAGATGCTTAAAGTGCAGTTTTAATAAAAGTAAAGGTGTCTATAAAATTACATAGTGGGCTTCCATTTTTGCTCAGTGTCACTGATGTCCAGATCAACTGTATCCAATTTTGAAGTCAAAAGATTATTTATCTAATTGACATCCCTGCATAATCAACCTAGAATGTGAAAAATCAAACTGTGGTGGGGTTTTTTCCCCTCACCTAACCACCAGTAATAAAGATTCTGTAATCAGAACCTCAGTGATAGCTTAGGGATGGTACAGAGCCCTTATCACTGTTGTTGTTTCAAGACCAGTCCAGATAGATAGTAGCCAAAAGCTACTACCATTGCTATTTGGTTAGCTTAGGTGATAGTTTCAATGTAGTTCCTAGTGGTCAAGTCCTACAGTTGATATCTTTGTTAATAGTCACTGCAGAAGAACCAAGGAATTGATAAATATGGAGGCTGAACTTTCTTACCTCTAAAGACAAACCCTCCTGGTCAAAGTTTGAGGCACACTGATGGGACAGTGCAGTTGTACGTCTAATACAAAAAACTATAGGACTTAAGTCACTTGCTAGGATCATCTGGGTATATCTCATTTAATCAATTCCCTGCCACTGTAGAGGCCTCAGGCTTTCATGCCTCAGTCCCTCCTGTTCTCTGTCCATGGCACACAATTGTTTAGTTTCCTGTGGGTTGTAATACTTTGGTCTAATTCTGGTTGTTGGGGTTGGCGTTGGGGAGGCTGGATGCTGTTTGTTGGTCTGTGATATACAGGAGTTCTGACTAGATAATCTGGTGGCCCGTTCTGGCCTGAAACTCTATGATTCTATGTCTATGGCTCCAGGCCTACCCAATGTAGCACCTTTCATGAATACTAAATGCACATTTTTTAAAAGAGACATTAAGTGGTAAATCCACTAAGGAAGCATGAAGCAAAATAGAGCCCAGGTTTTTCTTCCATAGCTCCAATGGCTCTGCAGTGCTAAGAGGAGTAAAACTTATTTTTGCCTGTGAAGCACACAGCTAGACTCAGACACACAGGGAACAGAAATGTTGAGTGAGATGTTGTGTCATTTTTGCATATTTTGCCTGTAATCACGTTATATTTAAATGTTAACCCAAACATTCACAGTAAATTGAGAATTTACTGTTGAATCCTGCTCCTCCACAGACTTCCTGTGTAACCTTGGGCAAGTCACTTAGCCTCCCTGGGTATGTCTACCCAGCAATTGGGAGGGGTCATTGTAGCATGTATAGGCATACCAGAGCTAGCTCTGATCAAGCTAGCTTGCTAAAAATAGCAGCAATGCCATGGCAGCACAGACAATGGCATGGGCTAGCCACCCAGGTACAAGCCCACCCCAGAGCAAGGGTATGTACTTAGGCAGCTTGCCCATGCCACTGTCCATGCTGCCATGGCTTCACTGCCATTTTGAGTGAGCTAGTTTGGATGCTGCAATCACACACCCCGATTATAGTATAGACATATCTTTGGGCCTCAGGGCTTGTCTACACAAACATTTAATTCGCAGCAAGCTGGGTGTGAGTGAACATACCCCACACTAGCTCGCCACGCCCAGGGACAGTTGGTCTGTGGCAGGCTACTGTGGGGTAGATTCACACCCCAGCATGCCACAAACTAAATATTTGTGTAGACATATCCTCAGCTCTCCATCTGTAAAATGGGGATAGTAGCACTGTCCTACCTCAGAGGTGTGTAGTGAGGATTAATACATTAAAGTTTGTGAGGCACTCAGCTACTACTGTGATGTGAGCCATAAAAGTACCTGATAAATATAGATAGAATGTGTGCTGCACGACCAAGAGAATGATTAGCTATTCCCAGACTCATTCCCTGACAAGCAGCCATGTTTTGGATGAAGGATTTAACATTACAATTACACATTTTAGACATAATATTCACATTGTTCAGTTGGGATTATAAAAGTAAATGCTGAATTAGTTATTTCAAACAAGTCTTTAAAACATCATAATTTTAAATGGACATGAATCTGCACCTAAACCTGTGATCTGAATGCCCCGATCTTTGGTTTGGGAGTTTTCAGAGTTTTGTAATCTGGATCCAAACTGCATGACTAGCGCTTATCTGTACAACGGAGTAAACCAAACCTCCTAGATCCCATCTCCCTCCCCTGAACTCTGGGAGTTTCAGATCTGTATCCAAATTTTGCAGATTAGGCCCATCTCTAATTTTAAATTTAAATACTCATTGTTGCAGTGTGTATATGGTAAAAAAGCTCTCGGAAATCTTGACACTTGCTTACTTGTTCTGTAGCCAACTCAAATAAGTGTACATTAGCTTAATACAGCAAAAATGACTGATAATGCAAACTGGATTAAGATGCTTAGTTTTAACCATAACCTGATATAAGGGCTCCTACTTTACTGATATTTAATTGTGGCTTACTTAGTTTGACTGTCACAGTAGACTTAGCCAGCCTTGGATCCTAAAGAGATATTGTATACTTATACAGTACTTACTATAATGATGTGCATTGCTAGGTACTCACATAGAGGTAATCATGCTATGCTGGCACCTAGCCGAGAAAGAGATAAAAGTAATTTAATAACTGCAGACTGACTAGAAATAACAGTGAACATATTGTAGTTAGATTAGATTATTACTATTGCAGCTACAAGATAAGTGTTGGCATTATCTTTAATTATCATTCAAATTC